GTGATAGAGAGGAGAGGCAGGATTCTCGCCGGAGTCCAGCCGTCGCCTGTGAAGAAAGAGATCGATTTCGAGAGAGAGAGAATTGTGAACCAAATATTTTTTAGGTTTAACATAAACCAGGGCAGAATCGTCTTTTGGCATTAAAACAAGGGTAGTTTTAAAAATGCTCCCCTTATAGGGAATACCCAAAAGGGGTATTTTTAGAATTGTCCCAAAAATATTTAGATATTGTAGACAAAATATTAAAATATTAAAAACTAATTATTTACACTTTTGTCATTTTTATTTAATAAAGTATTATACTTAAACTTTTGATTATAATACAATTATATATAGAAATGTTTCCATATTATTATATTTCTTTTTTTGTCAATATAATTTGTTGTTCTATTTTAAAAAATAGAAAGTAATATTTTGTTAAAAATGTTAATTAGTGAGATGTCTAATTACTATTGGACGTTTAAAATCCTATGTGGACGCCCTTAGGAGCTTATAGCCTCAACGTTGCGCAGGTATATTTGTATTGATCGTTTCGAATTGCTATAGATTTAGTAATCATTTAAAATAGCGCAAGTATGTATTTATTGATTATTTTGAAATTGTTTTAGACTTAGTGATCATTTATATATACATTGATAAATACTATGCAGAAGTACTATAACATTATATTTTTTATTTGTTCTAACATAAATGTTCGTTTATTTATATTTTGAGTATCATTTTTTGTTTTAAAAATGTTAATAAAAAGGAAAAAGTAAATAATTATATGTGATTAGTTAAAATACCATTTTTATCGTTTTATTCTTCGACAAAAAGTACAAATTTTAAATATTTGAAATATTTTTGGTTTTTTTCACCTACAACGTTCTGATTGAATCTTATTAGTTAAGTTGTTGTGATATATCAGAAATATATCATAGTTTTATTTCAACCACTCTCAACCATTTCTACATTTGTATACTTTCTTTTAAAAACTCACGTTTTCCCCACATTCGTGATATATATATGAATTTATGATTTCACAAAAAAATTGAGATATATCATTTTTAATCGTTTTGCAAGCACTCATTTGTCATCATCTTTTATCCCCACAATCACATCTACCATTCAAGATTCTTCATTGTGGGATATTTATACTGAACTATGAACTATAATTTGACAAAACAATATTAAAAATAAAATAAAAACATAGGAAGATAAACTATAAACTTTACAGATCTTTTTTTCTTTTCTAAAATATGTATTTTGATAATGCGGATGTATTCAATATGCTGTTCATTCAATATATTGTTACAAAATTTTAAACATGGAATACTAATTAACAGTAGTGTTCTATCTAAAACTCTTCATAAAATAATTAAAATTTGAATTTAAAATGTAATATGTTTCTTGAAAAGTTTTACTTCATACAGGTGCACAAACTTTACAAATTTAGTGATATTAATATCGATTATGTTATGTATTCAAATTCTAACAAATTATTGAAGATAAAATATCAACCATTTTATTAATAATGATATTATTTTGACAACATAAGTTTCCATTTGCCGTTTCTTTCATATATAGATGACTATTATGATTGAAGATTAATCATTAACAAATTTTAATTTATAACCAGTAATATGGTTTTTATGTTCAAAGGGAGATAATATGATAGATATTTTCATATAAATATTTTTGTATATCTATCAATAAATTTAAGAAACTGAGAACTTTACAAAATTTTATATTTAATAGTTTTCATATCTTTAAATATTTCTTTTATTTCCATATATAGTTTTTCTTTTATACAAAAGTCTTAAAAGTTATAACATAATTTTTATAAAGTTTTCATTTCTCTCATATATTTTGATATTTTCCTTTTTGAAAGTATGTTAATTACATAAAATATTATTTTCGTTTATAAACTTAATTATAAAAAATATTTAATATTGAAAAACCTAATTAGTTTTATACCATTTATTTATTTAAAAAACGAAAAATAATTCTAGAAATATTCCATTTTTTCAGATTTTTCTTATTTTCATATATGGTATTTATTTTTATTCTCACAAAAAATGTTAATATAGATAACTATTGTAATTTAAGAAAAATAGTTAAATATTGAGATAGAAAATCCCGATTGGGCGTTTTAAGTCACACGTGGATAGCTTTAGGAGCTTGTAAAAGAATCGAAACAAACATGATTATATAGTAAATAGTGAAATACAATTATACAATTAAAGAAAAAATATTGTTTAAAGAATCAGATTTTGGTTTTTACCTTGGCATACATCTGCCTAATTTCATATCCAATTCCTTCGCTTTCAGAATCAAAGACACCAATATAGAATGTATTCCTATTACAAAAACAAAAAACAATTAAAAGGTTAGAATTGGACTAAATAATCAAAACAGTATAAGATTGTAACAACATAATTAAAAAAGCAATCAAAACAGTACAATAACAACAGAATAAAAAAAATACAGCAAATACAAAAATATCATATAATCAACAATATGACTTACGAAATAAATTAATAATCAATTCATCTATATTGTATTCTAATGTGGTAGTGGAGACCCTAAATTTATAGTTAAATTGTTAGGCTAACTTTCGGAAGTTTTACTTTTAAAAATTAAGAATTTACTCTAAAAGAAATATTTAAAATATTTTAGATGCATCTTTTATTTCCATATATCGTATTTTTCCCTTTTTACAAAAAAAAAATCTGTAAATAGAAAACAAATAAAATTTTAAAATTGTTAACTAATGAGATGTCTAATTATTATTAGTCGTTTAAAATCCTATGTGGACGCTCTCAAAAACATATAGCCTCAACTTTTATATAGTATAGACTAGGTTTTGAACCCACGCTACGCGTGGGTATATTTGATATCTTTTGGTTTAAATTATTTATGATTCAAGATTAAGGCATTAAATACTCGAAACAACTTCGTTCATCTAAACTCCTAAACTCGAATTTAGATGTCTTTCTTACTTTCTACCGTAACTTAGTTTTATATTTCCAGAATATCTATACCAAATTTCATAAACAAAAAAAAATAATTAACTTACCAAGATATCAGTAAATAATAAACTAACAAAAATCAAGCAAATAAAGATATC